AGATATCAAAAAAGTACTCCAGAGTGTTGTTCAGCATGGGGGTGAGTAGAAAATGAAGGCTAATCATGTTTTGGGTGTACTATTCCTTTAAGGACGAACTTACCTTTGGCAAATATTTAGTTACTTTTAGACAGTTACATCTTTTTTTACCTCTCCATTAAAGAACTGGACGCACCTATTCATATCTCTTCTCTGAGCCTAACCGTATGGGAAATATTTGGTACAAGCCCTGGCTGGGAGCTGATCATGCTGATGACCTACAGTATCTCTTTGGAAAACCCTTCTCCCATCCACTGGAATACTTTCCAAATCATCGTGACCTTTCTGAACACATGATTGCCTACTGGACTAACTTTGCCAAGACAGGGTAAAAAAACAACACAAAAAATATATTGTAATAAATCTCTAAATTACTGACGTGTTTTCTCTCGATGCATACACAGAGACCCTAACAATGGAGACCTGAGCGTGCCTGCTTCATGGCCGGCATTTACATCCAGCGGAGCCAAGTTTGTGGAGATCAATTCCAAGATGGATTCCACTTACGTGAGGCAGAAGTTGAGATTGCGCTATGTGGATTTCTGGGCAGATGTTCTACCCAGTCTGCCAACAGTCTAATCAGAATAAAACCTGTGATTGCAAAGAAACTGTTGATCAGTGGTGTGGGTTTATGACAAATACACACATGTATGAGTCATAAAAAACCTGTTTTCTTAGTTTTCAAATTATTACTCATTTCTAAATGAGCTTAGTCATCCTTGATTGGTGGATACAATCTTAAGGTTGCTCTGGAACAATATTTTTAGTGCATTAAATAATACAATTATAGTGAAATGCAGTTGAGAGAATAAATTGAAATATTTTGACTGGTATTGCTCCAATGATACCTGTACCACTTTTACTACTAGTGATTTATTTAGACCCAAATCTTTCTGTAAGCCTGGCAGTGGTTCCGTTTCAGATTTTTCTTTACTTAACTTTACAAAACAAACATAATTCACAAAGCACCCTGGGCCTTAGCGGAGCTTAAGTAGTGATAAGTTGCATCATTTTCAATTTCTAATTTATTTTTAATAAAAAAAGGGAAATAAATTCC